ATTGTTGAGTTTCAAGTTTCAACTGACGGCTCATCTAATAGGTGAAAACCTCCCGGGCCTCGTGCGGCAACGCCGGCTATTTAATCGGCAACAAAATTAAATTCACGATAGACATGAACCAGTTTTACCAACCATTGCCTGGTCAATAATTCTCTTATGGACCTTACCAATGAGCTATGGACCCCATGCTCCTCTTGCCCGTCTCTTATCATTGAAACCGCACATAGACTATCGACTTCCGCTATGACCTGTCGATGCCCCGATTGCCATGCCAGGCTTAAGCCTTGAAAAAGTCCCCAAAGCTCCGCTCATGTAATAGAACAAAACCCTATATTCATAATATACCCCTTAATCCACTGACCCCAACAATCACGTAGCACTCCTCCCGCACTGGCCATACCCGACGAAGGGTTGAACGACCCATCAGAATTCACTTTGATATATCCCTCCAGCGGGAGAGTCCAACGAGCATACACCCTTAAAATTGAATACACCAAAATTTCTAAAATTTTTAAAAATTCTTAAAAATTCTAATTAAATACATCAACCTAAAAGTTGCAGCCCATTGTACCACAGTCACGGCCCAAACCTTTTCCTCGATCTGACCATCACACGACGTCGTTACCCTCAAAAACCCTTTCCTTTCAGTTTAGGGGTCTGCTTCCTTTGTTACTATTACGGAACCCTAGCTTCGTCGTCTTCCCATTGCAAAAATGAAGCTAGTCAGGTTTGTTTTTTCTCATTTTTTCTTTTGTCAGTGGGGATGTTTTATCAGTACCAGAAGTGTAACTTACAGTTGCAGCTCACAAGTTTTCATTTTCTGCTCTGTATTGTTTACGCAGGTTTTTGATGAAATTGAACAGCGAGACAGTGTCTATTGAGCTCAAGAATGGCACAGTAGTTCATGGAACCATTACAGGTTCTTTTCATTTCATTTTCGTTCATTTTGGATACATTTTTGTATTACGATTCCCTTCTCTGAGCAAAGCTTTGATTTCTCTCTTCTTTTTTTTTCCCATTTAGTTGTTTAATCTGCATAAGCTACAAATTATAGCAAGATTTGGGCAATAGGCAATAATTTGATGCAAGTGCAACTCTGAATCTCATAGTGTAATATTTGGTTGGTAAAACTGTGTATTGAGCTAAGTACACCGACTAAATAGTCATAGAATTAGTCTAGAGTTCCATCAGATGCGGATTAAATGTAAGCACGTGAGAAGTTTATTTTAGTGATTGGGGCTTGTTACTTTTATGCTTCTAATGGTGACATGCTAGATAAAGATTATGACTTCTGAGTAGAATGGTATCTTCATGCTGTTGGTTCTTTCTTGTTCTGTGCCCATCGAGACTTCCAAACAACGAATAAGTGGTGTTTTCTCATCTCCGTAACGTAGGAAGACATACCGTCATTCATTCCCGAATCTCACAAACAATTAGAACAAGAACATATTTTCTAATCGTTTTGCTTAAACCGAAATAAATTTGAGAACTACTGAGCCATATGACAGTCTACTCATTGGGTAAAAACTTTCACACAGAAAAAGTAGAAGATTTTTTCCCTTTTTCAGGGTCATCAAAGACCCACTTAGAAACAAAGGGCTATGTTGTGCAACTTCTCTCCATGTCAGATTGATATATATTCTATATGTAATCAATTTAGTGCATATTTTCTTTGACATTTGACAGGTGCAAACAGGGCCATTGTTGTTTCCCTTTAAAGATGACTACTTCCATGATTCAAAATTTCATTCGCATGCATTGTCATGGAAATTCTTTTCCCAACTGAGTGTAGATTTAACATATGCAAGCTGTAGCCTTTTCATTTTGATTTTACCGTGTCTTTCTTTAGGTGTTGATATCAGCATGAACACACATCTGAAGACTGTAAAGCTTACTCTGAAGGGAAAGAACCCTGTTACGATGGATCACCTGAGTGTAAGGGGTAACAATATCCGTTACTACATTCTTCCTGACAGTTTGAATCTCGAGACGTTGCTGGTGGAAGAGACTCCTAGGGTCAAGCCCAAGAAACCAACTGCTGGTAGGCTAGTAATTGCAATTAGCTTTAGGTTTACTTGCAAAAACTATCCCTGGTTTTTAACCTTTTTAAAACAAATCGAGGTTTGGTTAAAATTGAGTTACATATTCTATTACATTAAAACGCTCTTCTTACATCTCATGATTCAAATTATCTTTTTTTCAAGGTTACAGATTTCCCCCTTGACATTGTTTCTCTTCTGTAATTGGCACCAATTTCTAGTTTCAAGGGGGCATGTACTTGTTAGGTAATTTTGATAGTCAAGAGGGCTTGAAGGTGTATTCCCGATTTTGAAAAAATAAAACCTTGGATAGTTTTTCGTATTGTTGCTAAGGTTTAGACATATTATTGTTAAATTAAACAAGCCTTGCTCGGCTCCGCTCGAGCTTGACTCATTAAGGCTCGAGTTCGGCTCGAGCTCGACGCCTTAATGAGTCGAGCTCGAGTTCATTTAAAGCTCGTTTGGTTAACGAGTCAAGCTCGGCTCAGCTTGATAAGGCTCTTGAAGGCTTATTTAATCTATGTTTTCATAAATAGTTCGGGAGTTTAAAAGAGATTTTTTTTATATATATATATTTGTATAGTTTGGCTTGTTAAAGGTCGAAACCGGCTCGTTAAGACTGGAACTCGGCTCAGCTTGGCTCGTTTGCAGGCCAATTTAGATAGAATTTCAGTATCATGCATCAATAGTTGCATTTTAATGTTTATTATCCATCACCTCAGGGAAACCTTTGGGGCGTGGTCGAGGCCGTGGACGTGGGCGTGGACGTGGGCGAGGCCGTTAGATAATCTCATGTCTCCTATATTTTTTTTGTAGTATTTCTTTATGTAAACATTTTGTACTAACAAGATCATTGTTGATGTTGTCTCTGACTAAAAGATATTTCGAATATTGGTGCTATTATTATTAGTTTGAGACTTTGAGAGTGAAATTGAAGTCGCCTTTTTATCTTAATAATTGGGACTTTTGTGCGACGTAGAAGATGACGTAAAATATTTATATAATACAACCTCCTATTTTTAAGTTTTTGGTGGGTTCTATCCAATGTGAGTGTTTATGTACACCCCTATGTACAATCTTATGTACATATTTATGTACACCCTTATGTACAATCTTATGTACATATTTATGTACACCTCTATGTACAATCTTATGTACATATAGCATTATTCTATTTTTAATATATGTCGTTTTGAGAATTTATACATTAATTATGAATATTTTTTTTGTCAATAATAACCTTATTAAATGAAGATAGAGATGAATATTTTGAGAAAAAGTGAATAGTGAATATAAAAAGACTAATGTATTTATTAGCTAAATGAGGGTAATAATGGAAAAATATGTATAAAAGATCCAAAACGACATTTATTTGTCAAATAGTTGATAAAACTAGAATGACATTTAAAAAAAAATAGGAGGAAGTACAAAACATTGTTTTAAGCATTTATCAGGTTTAGCGAGTGATTTAGCATGACATAGGCTTGTCCTCCTTTATTGTACCAAAAAAAAAAAAAAATTGAATTAAACTCCAGTTGTTTATCAAATGAAGTCATTAAAATTGTCAGAAATTCTATGGTGTCACATGTGACACCATATTATGGTGCCACAACATGATGTGGCATATTATGATTGGTGCCACAACTATCACACATCATGTTGTGGCACCAATCATAATGTGCCACATCATGTTGTGGCGCCATAGAATTTCTGTTAAAATTGTACAAATATCTCTATTTTAGCCGAAAGTAATTGAATTAAACTCGAGTGGTTTATCAAACAAGTCACGAGCCGAACCGTCCAAAGTCCAAACCCGTTTTTGTTTTCACAAACTATATATTATCGCGCACGAAAATAGGCCCGGCTATAAAAACCCACCTCGTCTAGAAAACTCCTCCCTCAGTTCACACCAAACAACTTTCACTTCCATTTCTTTAGCTTCGTTTTTTTTTCCTTGTTTTTCACCTTTTTTCTTCGTCTCCAAGATAACTGATGGCGAACTCAACCTCCACCTCCTCCTCCTCCTCCGCAAAGTCGGCTGCCATTCTCTTTGGAGCCTTGGCTTGCGGCTGGCTCGCGATTGAGCTCGCGTTCAAGCCGTGGCTCGCCAAGGCCAGAGCAGCCATGGATGATTCCGACCCAGATGACGCCGCCGCCGCCGGCCCCGCCTCCGAGCATCCCGCCGCTGATGAAGATGAGGATGACAAAAGAGATGATTAGTAGGTTTAATGGTGTTTGCTCGTAGTTTATTTTTGCTTTTCGGGCCCCCTAATTAGTGGATCGGGCGAAATATTATGTATTCACTTTCTTATTTCTTCACGTGCAAATGGAGTTTGATCATTTTTGCAGTTTACGCTTGCTTTATTTTATAATTTGGGCTGCTAATTGTTTGTTGTCACTGTATAATTAAGAAAATAATTGATTAATCATTATGAAGAAATGAAAAGCAAACCAATGAGCAAACCAAAATGTACCAATTCACAAGAAATGAAAAGATAAAAGTACACAAATGCCAAGAAATTTGGCGAGCCGAACTCAAACTCTTGATATGGTTTCGAGCCTCTATCGAGACAAACCCAAGCGTAGCCTTAACAAGTCGAACTCAAGCCTCAATGAGTCATTGTTTAAACTCTTGATATGGGTTTGAGCCTCTATCGACCCAACCCAAGCTTAGCTTTAACAAGTTAGAACTCAAGCCTCAGTGATTCATTGTTTACAAAAAACCGATATATTTGTAGCTTAGCCTTAACAAGTTTGAACTCGAGCCTCAATGAGTCATTGTTTACAAAAAACCGATCTATTTGTTTCATAAACTTCCCTAGTACAGAAATAAATTCACCAGTCCACAATACATCACAACTCTCATTTTACAGTTTTTCTAAAGAAAACTATACTCAATGTTAACAGCTCCAATCTAATTGCAGCTCACAAGTTCCACTACAACACATTCTCGAAAGGCCATACAAAATTATGCTCCCTCAAAGCTCAAAATGAGATATTCGCATTTTTTCTTTCTTTGCTTGCCATACATGCCTTTCGAGTTTGGACAATTTTATACCTTTAACTAGTAACTAAGCATAACTAATCCAGAAGATCATGCTGCTTGTTAACCGGTATTTGCTTGATTATAGTCCATACGCCTTAATGCTTTACTAAGACTCGGCATCACATTGTAGGCTTGGTACGATCTTCGCAACTCGATGATTGAGCCCACCTGGAAAAATGCTTCTTGTTAAGGAAGGAGCACAACTATAGAAGAGCACAACTAAAGATCAAATTATAGAAACAAGCAAGATTTGAGCCATATTAGATGAGCTTCAATTTTGGTTGTTTTACAACTGGGAAAACTTGGAATTTATAGAAGAGCAACAAATCTCAAGAGATCGATATTATTCACAAAGTTGAAAGATTTTATCTTTTTTTGTTTGTTTGTTTTCCTTCTAGAGTAAGAACTTTTCCCATCTATGTAACTGCACGATATTACATACAAAATATAAAATATTTCTGTTCCAACAAAAATAAGCAACACTTCCAAGGAAAAGTTGTGTCTCAACAATGAACTTACAATGATCAAAATTGATGTGAACCCTATGGAGAATCCCTCATTGATACGCCTTAAGTTATGATCTAGAATAGAAGAGGTAGTGGCCAAAACACTTAGCAATATACCCCCTGCAAAACATTTGCCATCCATGATATTGATCAGATGAAAAAAATAAAAGAAAACATTTACAAGGATTATAAAAAAAAACATAAAATAATTAAATAAATAAAGAAATAAAAGCTTTGCGAGCATTTTACCCCAAAAACGAGTTGAAGCTTGGATCTTCGTCAAATACTCAATGGTGGCTTGTCCCGGTTTTATATTCGGGATTCTTGCACCCATCTTATTTAAATAATCAGATATTTCCTTCGGCATATTTGCCTAGAGAAGAAATAAAAAGTAAGTACTGAAATTAATGTAATTTGGACAGACCTATCAGCAATAGATTACGTTTACTAAACATCCATACTCCATAGGTTGGTATTCTTTTCTCCCACTTTATTGAAAGAATGATATTTGTAGTCATTTCAAAACATGACACTTTTTTTTTTCTGTAATTAGGTTACACCTAAACATAGTATCTTAATATTTAGTAGAAAACATCTATATTCGATCAATAGGAAGACTATGGTGAATGATTCTACACTAACATAGATAAAAAAATTATATGAAGGTGAAAGTTGAAAATTACTCACAATGTCAAATATGTTAAACAGGAACACAAAAAACGCATAAATTGAGTAGTAAATCCAAGGCGCTGCCCCACTGTGTGTGTCTGGATTCAGGATATCTCTCAAATTTCCCCAAAAATGCGAGCCACTAAGACTGCAAAGAATTAAAAAAACACATTAGATTTCATTGCTGCAAGCTAGTAAAGAAAAAAACAAATAATTGCACATGAACATTGTACACACATTATTGGGACAACCAAAATATAGCATAATAGACAGTGACGTGTAGATGGATAATTTAGTAGCATTAGACATTAAGGTATTAATTGGATAATCCTCTGATTTTGAGAGTTTCTTTTTTCTACTAGAGAATAGTGATATAAAGTATTTTGAGAGTGTGACTGGACATGAAATGAAATATAAATGGATTGATTTTTATACAAAATTGTAAATAACGACTGGATAATCATGCCTTACGGCATCCCAGTGGCAAATTGGTGAAACACCATAGTTAGCATCGGGAAATCTTATCAAATCGATTTGATTTGCAAGGAAAACTTATACAGCGGAAATGCACAATAATAATAATAATAATAATAATAATAATAATAATAATAATAATAATAATAATAATAATAATAATAATAATACAACACATACCCAGTATATTCCCAATTGGTTGGAGTCTGGGGCAGTGACGGATTTAGGAATTTCGTTGAGGGGGGCCGATTTTAAATGTTATAACGACCTTGTAGTTTAAGTTGAAACGTTCATTTTATATGAAAAAGTATTAACTATAGTCTGTAAATATAATTGTCGATATGTGTACCATCAAATGTTTAAAAACTTAAAAAATCTGTAACCCTAAAACTTAAAAAAAAATAAACAGAAAAAGTGAGATTTTATGTATTTATAATTTAAGGAAAAAAAAAATTGCAGTGCATTGTGTTAATCAAATGAACGATTTTTAAGAAGAAACAAAAAATAAACAAAAACTTTTTTTTTTGGTACAAAATAAACAAAAACTTTTGCTGCACATTTCATAGAACTTTTGTTAATTAGAGCCTAATGAACATTTTTTAAGAAGAAAATAAATAAATTTAAAAATATGTGATTACACACAAAAAAAAAGTGAAAAATCAACATTAAAAAATTTAAAAGTACTTAATATTAGGTTTTATAAATCACTAATTCGATTTACAATTAAGAGTAAATCATTATAAATATTTTCAAAAATTAATCTAAAAATGTAAAATATAATGATTGTTAACACATTTTTAAAATAAATAATTTTATTAATTTAAATTAAAATAGCATAAAAAATAATTATTAATATATTGTAAACATTTTGCACATTTTTATACATATTTTTTAATATTTTCTTTATAAGTGTATATATGTAGGTTTAAAAAAAAAAAAATCAGCCCAATGCAAATCCACCCTGGGGGGTCATTTGTACGCAGACCTTACCCTTGTAATTATACAAGGAGGCTGTTTCCGTAGCGACCCAAGGTGCATTGCGTCGTTTGATATATTTTTTTTTTCTAGAAACTTCACTAATAGAAGAAGCACTAGAATTTAATTGAGTCATTTTGATCTAGTCCATTATTAGCACTATGCCAAGAGAATTGTCAACAATGACTCTTCCAGCTCCATTTGCAATGGACAAAATAATAATAATAATAATAATAATAATAATAATAATAATAATAATAATAATAATAAATAAATAAATAAAAATAAGCCACTACCTTGCAACAATGGTAGGAAATGCCAAGAGATAAGATGTGGTGAGCACAGGTTGCATTCCAGCAGGATTTATGTTGAAAGGAATGTACGGCTCCACTTCAGTAATGGGAGAATCTTCTCTGTCAAACGCATGCCCAAAAAGTTAAAAAAAAAAAAATTAATATATTGTGACCACTAAATAACAAATACAGGGAGGTGGGTGTTTGTAATTCTGAAAGATAATGTAGGGTTGTTTATGATTAGGCTAAATCTTTTAGTTTTAGATTTCATTCAAAAGAACTTCATCGACAGCTAAAATGCAACTGCCCATTCAGAAGCTTAAATCAAATGTTTCTATCATTAGTAACATTGTGTTCCTGGCACTCCATGCAAGATCGATAGACGATTTGTTATCAAG